GAGATATTCCGGACATAACTTCATGGCGTTCAATTGCATAAGTTTCTCGGAATTAATTACGTCACACATCAATAGGGGAGAATCCATTTATGAAGTAAGTAAAATCAGGATAATATGTATACCTGTCTACGCACAGTCGACGGATATTATTATAAGTGCCTTAAAAGCATAAACCAGATTTTGAAAAAAAAATAAAAATAAAATAAATAAATAAATAAATATATATATATATATATTACAAAGCGATTCAGGTTTTTTTTTACAGTAGTCTCCTCGATTATACAACTTGCAAAGAAAACGGGGCATGTGGCTGATGACAGAAAATGATACTACAGATAGGGGTCACTAAACTAAAATGACAACCCTGTGATTTCGCTTAACAAAAATACCCTATAATTAGCGATTAATTTGAAAAAATATGAAAAAAGACGGTGACTCACTCACTGTATACTTCATGTCACACTGCGAACTACAGCATTAATTCGGGTTTAATATCTACACAGCTAAAAATATCTATACAAAACAGGAAATTACCCCGACCTCTGCAGAGATGGACGCAAAAATGGTTATATATGGTCTACAAACTTATCCCTAAAGTTTAATTGCGTCAACAGAAAAGTATAAAGGATTACGGGGCAATGCCCTCTTGCCTCACTTCAAAAGGATTTCCTAGAGAGGAGAGGAGAGGAGAGGAGAGGAGCAGAGAGGAAAGAGGAGAGGAGAGGAGCAGAGAGGAGCAGAGAGGAGAGAGGAGAGAAGAGGAGAGGAGCAGAGAGGAGAGAGGAAAGAGGAGAGAAGAGGAGAGGAGAGAGAGGAGAGGAAAGGAGAGACGAGAGGAAAGAAAAGACGAGAGGAAAGAGAAGAAGACGAGAGGAAAGAGAAGACGAGATGAAGGAAAAGGAGACGAGAGGAAGGAAAAGGAGGCGAGAGGAAGGAAAAGGAGGCGAGAGGAAGGAGAAGGAGATATAGAAAGGAGAGGAGGGGGAATGGGAGAGAAGGGAAAAGGAAGGGAGGGGGACGATATAAGAAGTGGGGGAATGGGAGAGAGAGGGAGGGAGGGATATAATAAATTATATATATATATATATATATATATATATATATATATATATATATATATATATATATATAGAGAGAGAGAGAGAGAGAGAGAGAGAGAGAGAGAGAGAGAGAGAGAGAGAGACAGAGAGACAGACAGTGTGAGAGAGAGAGAGAGAGAGAGAGAGAGAGAGAGAGAGAGAGAGAGAGAGAGAGAGAGAGAGAGAGAGAGAGAGAGAGTAAATCAGCAGAAAACGAAAGCTGGAAGAGAAAGAGAGAGAGAGACACTGACAACAAGCAGCAGCAGCAGCGTGAACATGGGCGTGAGCATTGGACGGTCAGCTTTAAACCCGCCCCTTTCCCGCCCAGCCACTTGCCCCCCCCCCACCCCTCTTCCACCCCCCTCTCCCCACAATCCCCCCCCCCCCCCGATGGAGTACACACACTCTCTTTCAGCTTAGAGGAAGGCAGATCCCCGCTGGTACACAACGTTACATCCCTGTTACGCCGTGTTAACCTACGCCATTGCAAGCCTTAAACCCATTAATGACTATAATACTATTCAGGGTCACATGCACGCACACGCACACGCACGGACCACGTCGAATCTCGAGCACAACAATATTCTTTCATAATCACACATGCTACGTGAGAGAATATAATTAATGTCTTTGTATGCGTCATTTTCCCATCCAATTAGCTGCAGTTTAGGAAAATCAACTGGCCCAGCAGGCAGGCCACGGCAACGCCCACTGTCAGGAAAAGATTCACTTTTTATCATTTTCCCTTCGTGTTTACCTCATTCCAAGTTTTTTTTTTTTTCTTAATTGTATATCTCTGTATTTTAATTTTCCCAGAAAAAATGCAGGAATGCAGAATCATTTCTCGTTTCCATTTTCTCCTCTTCCCCTTCCGTGTTCTCCCTCCTCCCTCCCCACCTACCTTATAAAAAAAGAAAAGTAAAAAAAAAGACAAGGGCCTAGAGGGAAGCGTTGCTAGTACTTGTAGGTTTACATTACCCTAGTACCTCTACTTCTCTCTCCCTTATTTTCCTTTCACCTCCCTCCCTCCCCCCCTTTTCTCCGCCGCTTCCCTTCCTTTTTATTTTCTCTTCTCGTTGCATTCATTTCCCTCGTCAGTTACATTCCTCTTACTGTTGCTCTATCTCTCTTCCATCTCCGTGCTTTCTCTTTCTTTAATTTCTACTTTCCCTCCCTTTTTTTCTCTCTTTCCTTCATTCCCCTTCACTTCCCTCCAATCCGATTCGATACTATTCTATTCTATCCTATCCCGTCCCGTCGCATCCCTTCCCCTTCCCTTTCCCTTTTCTTTTCCCTTCCCTTCATTCCCTTCTTTTCCCCTTCCCTCCTCTCCCTGTTCCCCCCCACCCCCCCCACGTACTTACGGCTGGCAACCGGTCCCCCCCCTGATTCCCGGCACGCTGCGTCTCGCTCATACTCAC